GTCATACAATCATACTGTATATTTGATATCACATCACAATCCTTCATGTGAACACGAATACGTATGAAACAAACACTATGTCAAATGATCTTTAATAAACATGTAAATGGGATGTAATCAAAAGTCATAGCATTCTATACCTCATCAAGATGATTTAGCTTTTTCAACATTATGACTTATGTCAACTTGTAGTTGATCAATGACTTAATTGAATGGTAACATTTGAGTACTGAAAATGTAAATAGTTAATTACGATACCCGTTGATTAACTTCAAAGATTATCAGTTCTATTATATTTAGACAGATTTTTGATCATGATGTATATGATTTAAAATCTATCACTTTTATGGATGTATTTAAACCTCACTGTCAAGTTGTGAACAATTCTGTTCTACTTTCAATAACATGTGGCTAGAAAACAACTTTATGTTTAGTTCGTTGACGATTGTTTAGAAAGACAGGTCAAAGCAAGATGGTGGTTGGAGGTAGTCAACAGGAAACTCTGGACATTCGCTTTGTGCCATTTGACACTCGTCAGCAAGATGCACGTGTAATCTTGAGGGAACTGATGCTCCTTGAGGGATTTGATTCCGTACCACATAGCTTTCCAGACGGAGTCGTTACCACTGACCTCCTGTAGGAGTGAGATGTATTTACAATTGATTGATTACTAGGTGGTGATCAGTGTCATTTGTCTCAAGTCCTTCTGAGTGCAGATCGAATCCTATCGACCAAGCTGCAATGTGGCCATCAATCTAGGTGACTCAACATTACGTTTCTTGTTGATTACGTTTAACCACCATCTGATCTCAGCATAGTGCACGTGATGCCGAATTACCTAGACTAATGGCCATATTACAACTTCGTCGATAGGATTTGATCTACACTAAGAAGAATCGGACATACATGACATTGATCAACACCCAGTGATCAATCAATCATAAACAGATCAAAGTAAATGTGATGATGCTTTCTGAAGACAAATGACCATCATTTGATCTAAAAATATATACGAAAAAAGTAGTTATTGATAGAAATTTCACAGCATTTATATCTCATTAGGAAAAGACCTTGTTTTGATTGTGATGTACATATTTACTATAGATGTGCTTAAAGTCAAAGAGATATATGATCTATGTCGTCAGTTGTTGATAAAGGTATCATACCAAAGTGAAAGTTAGTTAAGTTTTTGACAGCAAGTGACCATGTATTAATGGATATTTTACCAATAACACATAGATTCACTTAATATTAGTTAAGACAATAAAGATTTTGAGCTGTCTGTATTATTCATTGAAATACACTATTTGATTTGAAGATAATCTATCCCTATTACGAATAATCTATTTATCATTGTTTCAATAAATGATATAATTGGAAAGATTATAACGCATGTGAGTATAATTTTTCTATAAAAAGTTCCATAAAACTTAAACCACATTCAATGTGAAATGACTTACTACATTCAAATATCATTTATATGAAGTATATACAGTTTATCCGACTGTTGCTGCTACCTTGACATGGTGGTCGAGATTGCCTATCGTGATGAACCAATCGAGTTATACTGGCTGAAACAATCGTTCCTCAAGGTCCTATCATACCAGAGAGGTCGGTTGAAGGATGGTAAGACTAAAAGTAGCAATCTCAAGGTTCGAAGGCGAAGTCATACTGCTGACTGTACAGAGGTGTGACGGCGGTAAGGTATTCCCTTTAGTCGACCAGCATAAAAGCGATGCTGCCTTCCCACAAGGAGGGGTGGGATTAGAAAACGTTGACTCTAACAATGCACACCTCGCCTTATTCCATGGATATCTGTCTCCGATGGTAAGGTCTAACACGAAAATTACTCACAAAAGGGTCGTGTGTGACCGACCTCAAGCAGTTGTCCCTTAGGCACTGTGGTCACACTCTCAGGTCACTAAAACCACCCCTAACCCAATTTCCTTTTCAGGCACTTCCAGAAGAGCTCTTCCATGGTGTTGGCAACCAGGAAGTGATAACTTCCTTCATACCTCTAACAGCACTCAAGACTGATACAATTTACAGTTATATAAACAGGTAATCTAAGTAAAGAAGCCGTTAACTTACTACCAGTTATCTTTTGAAGATAATGGAGGGTGAATGGGCAGCGATATCAAATGATAAATATCAGACATATATACCATTGCATATCAACTAGATGATCTAGAAGCTACGTGTTCTTATATATTATTTGACATCCTTAGTTTGATACCCTTTCTAGCTAATGAATACTTACCTGTTTTCTCTTTGTCTAAGTTCGAGTCATTTATATTCATATTTGTTGATTTATTTGGCATAAAATTGTTTGTTAAGTTAACCATTATGTAAATTTAAAAGCAAGGGATTATTCGCTCCATGTATTTAATTTTGTTTCTCATATCAAACCATAGTTCAATTCATTCGTAAACTTATCTAACAAACTGTCATAAGTATTATTTGAAATAACGTTTATTATTTCAGGTACGAGTAATTGCATTAAAGAATAATCATATGGATGATCGTGATGAAACATTATTTGTATTCACGTTACGAATATACATGAAGAACTTCTTGAATAAGTTGAATATCTAACTAACCCTTCCAACTTACATTTTGGTAAATATAACTGTAATTAACTAATGATGTTATCCATTAAACCTTGGTTCTTTCTATTTTTCAACACTGAAATGTGTTTAAGATTGTGTGTGTTTTAAACAATATAATTGATGCTTAATTCATAGATACAAAGCCGAAACGATCGTCCAGTGCCTTCAGGTTTTCAACGATAGTCTAACACAGACCGGTTCATGATTTCAATTAAAACCTAATTACGAGCTTGCGAATCGGTGGACAAAGTCAGGTTTTAGACTATTATTTATCTTCTTTAATCCGAGAACCAACTAGTGACTATTCCAAGTACAGCAAATACATTCATCAATTTCACAATGAATTCAACTTAGTTGAATACTTTTTTGTGATTTTTCAAGCAATGAAATTTCCGAAACAAAACTATTCAGATTATAGGCGAACAACACTAACATTTACAAGATTCCTCTCATCATTTTACAATACTATGAACCGAAATGACTCAAAAAACTTTAATCCCATTTATCACTTGACTGAAACAACAAAGCTAAGACCAAACAACCAAACAGAATCTTCGAGAGCTTATACTTCACTCTGTGAATTTCAGAGGTTCACTTATGTAATTTATTTATAATTGTAATGGTCTGATTCATATCATCATATGATATATATATATATATATATATATATACATCACAGTACCATAACTACTTCTCATTTACATATTGGGTAATGTAACTTTCCGATTATTGACATTATTGAACCAGTGATTAATTGTTACTAACTGAAACATCAATTTCTCATTTCAACAAACATTACTCAAAACATTCTTCAAAGTAGTAACTAACACTTTAGGATTATTTAGTATGAAAACAGTTTCAAAATAGAGAGTATCACGTTAATAAGAACGTACTCATGAGAATTATCAATGTTTGTTTTTTGTTCAGCTGACTTAACACCTCACTTTATTCACATTTTACCATTATCATTATTCATAAAGATGATATAGAATCATATGGTTTTTCAATTTCTGACCATAATACAACGTAATTAATTAATCTTAACTGATAGTTAGACAGTCAACCTATCAATGCTGTCATAGAGATTTATCTTGACGATTAGTCTAATCAATGATATAAACGAGTGAATTTATTGCTTTGCATAAAAATGTAATAAGCTTATAGGGGAGATCTAACGGAAATACTGCTATTATAGATGTCGTTCAGTTTGAGACTATAGACTCCACCTAAAATTGGATAATATAACATTTATTTTTGTTTATTTCAATCTACTAAGTCTTTCGAATTTAAAGTTGATTGTTGAATCGCATTGATTTCTAATGGAAACAACCCTCCTGCCATCCAACTTTTTTTGATCTTTATCACCATATAAACTACTAACTAATTCTAATGTTAAATGAAGATGTTGGGTTTTTCTACAGAATATAATTATTGCCGTAGTTTCTTAGTGCACTTATCATTAATACACGATCTCGGGAAACCACTGATCCCTAATCTTTTAACAGGCTTCGTAAATGCTTGATGACTAGAAAAATTAGGCATAGTTTTGTTCAAATATAGGATATATAGCAAGTGGCTGTCAGGACTCAGTAGCTGAGTGGATAACGCGATGCCGTTTGAGGCAAAGGGTACTGGGTTCGAGTCTTAGAGTGAACATCAACTCTCTGAGATGCAGGAACATGCAGCTGACGAGTCCCAAACAGGACGAAACGCGCGTCATACTGGATTCTACTGCTAGCCACTATCCATCATTGATTACAAATAGCTTGTGAATTAAGGTAATATCGAGGCATACGAACAGTATTAACATATGCCAATAGCAGATTGATCAATTGCAGTCTTAAAACCTCAATGGAAAGATACAAGCCAAGCAATACCAAGTGAATAGGATATCTTGTTTCCAAGAAGAGTATAATTTCTCCAAAGAATACTTTAAATTACCATTCGAGAGATCCTACAGTTTCAACTTCAAAATCAAGTGTTATTTGGCATTGGATCCTCCCTGAAAGGAATATAGTCTTCAACCATTATACTAACATTGGTATAGTAATGGATTCTAGGTCAATGTCCGTTGAGCTAAATGTTCTATACCTTGAAATACAACTGTGCGTTGAATGGTTGACAAAGGATATTGAGGTACAATTTGGGTCGATCATGTGTTACCACGGAGTCCCTATTGCTTGGAAATCCAAATAGTGGTCACATCATGTATCTCGTTAATGTGTACAGTATGTTCATCATCAAACTTGTGCTTAAAAGATTCTTAAGAAGCAAGACAGTCCGGTGAGCAAGTTAGTGAAGGCCTTGATAAACACTGTCGTGACTTCAGCGTCAGATCACATGAGTCAATGTCGTTTACGTTCAGAGTAGCAGATCGTCTGAGCATTTTCCCACGTATGATTTTGAACTACAAAATACAATACTTCTGATTTTGTACACAAAATTATTTCTGATTTATATAATGACCTATTCATGTCTAATAAAGTAAAAATTAAACAGTTTTACGTATTCCTAATTGTCAAATCGATTTCTACTTACTCTGGATATCATAGTTAAGCAGGTGAATTATACCTAGTGTCCTACACTAGGCCAGATCCATGTCTTAGTACTGGGAAACTGCATGACACTGATGATCTAGAAAGATTTTAGATGAGAATTCTGAATCAAATAATCAGATTATTCAAGCGAAATTCAGATATTGTAAATAAATAATACATGGGGCCATTTACCAAGTGCAATATCAGTGATTCTTTAAGTAATAATAGAGCGAAATAGTCAGAAAGCGAAACTAATAATTACACATTTCAGTAATTAACGACATTAGCCACGCAAAGACAAACCAATGAAAAACTCGATCTATGAAGGTGTAACAGTTAGTTCATCATGGTACTTAAATCAACATGTGTATTCCATTGAGCCACACAACTGATGCATGTATGAAGACAACATTATAAAATCTGTCCCCTATTTTCGTGTTGATTGTGTTGAGTAAAGAAATGAATTGTGTCACTCACAAATTATGACTAATTCAAACCCCTTTATCATTAACGAAATACCTGGAACGTTTCTGAAACGGCGAGAAGCGACCACATCATAATCAATAGCTCTATACCAGCTCGTGACGAAGATATTGAAGATTGAATATGAAACCCATTTTTGAATAAACAGAGAACAACCATTGTTTAGAATAGCAATTATGTGGTAGATGATAAGATATCAACAAGCAAGTAAACATAAGTCATTGGCCCAAACCATAAGAGACATTTACCTGAAAGTCAAGAGAAACTAGTCATTCAAACTAAATTTGAGAAGATTGAGGTTTTTATCTGAAATAGCTTTGTTGTATTCCAATCTACGTGAGTCAGATATCTTAGCCATTGGCAATAAATAGCAAGCCTAATTGAAATTTTCTATTATGAATTCCTACTCAGCAAAACTAACCGTTGGAGAAAACAACCGTAGATTTTAAAAATCTATTATTATTTTTAGGTGGAAATGGATAGTGATTGGTAGTTGAATCCAGGACGTTTGTTTCGTCCTATTCAGGACCATTCAACTAGATAAACTGCTAGTAACTGTCTGTCTATGGTTAAAAGTATTTGTAACTTAGTGGAAATATTCAAGCGACCCGTAAAACATCCACATATTCCAAAACACACTAATTAGTTGTTATTTTCAACGTCAATAGGAAGATTCAAATAATCATCATATATAGATGTTGTTATTGTAATTTACTGAACGAGTACGAAATTGAAGTTATAATCTCGACATGAATGACTGTACCATAGTTGAGCGTCACTCAGATTACTTTGTGAAAAAGATCATTTAAATAGAATAATCTGTTATATTTCGCAGTTTTGAACTCAGTATTATTCATTGTCACGTTCAGTGTTGATTTAAATATACAACATGCTGTACTGTCACGATTTCTCTTTCGACACTTTTTCAACTTCTAGCTGCATGACCAGAAATGATCTTTTTAATTTTATCTCGTCAAATGTGCAAAACATTTTTATGGTGTTTTCATAGTCGAAAAAAACGAATATCACCTTCAAAACATTTAGAAATGCACCAGTAAAATGAAATCATATTGATACTAATACTGTTGTAGAATCCATTCAGTAATGCATGGACACTGTAATTTCATCATTTAGTTTACCGAGGTCTTATTTTCATTTCAGAGAGTTTATAGTTTGACCAACGACTAAGTAGGTATTCCTCTGACTGTTGTTTAATGTCTGGAATATTGTTTGCTATTGTTCCTGTACTCACTGAAAGTAAAAATCTTTAGCCACTATTGTAAACAAGACCAAGTGGTTTCGAAAAATAATTACTAGAATTTTTCACTTACCTCGAAAAATTCAGTTTTCCAAGCAGATAATGTAATACATCTTCTGAAATGTTTTACGATAACTATACGTTACATAACTACAGTGTCACTGTCGAATATCTTTATACGAATGAGAGAAAAATGTTCTTCAATAAACCAATATCAGTATCCGAAGTATCTCTGAGTAAACACTTGCATAAAATTTGAACTATATTTAAAAACGGTGATAGTGTTTTGGACTACCCACAAACTTTTTAATACATCATTATGTCTATTAGTCTCATAACATATTCAGGTGTGTTTGTGAGAAGTATACGACATTTCTCTGTACAAGTTACAAAAGAGCCCAACCGGGGACATCGTGGTTGCTGGCAATATGGATCGAAAAGAATATACATTAAACTAATGTCGACATGTGAACTGATAACATTTAACTGGTGACCACTCAATAAGTTATCGTCAGGACTGATCAAGAAATAAGAAAAGGAAATTCGTTGAAATACTTTGTGCTGAGAAATCCATACTGTATCAAAAATATAACATTTAATTAAGCTGAAACGATACAATTAAACTTAGTCATGGACTGAAGGTTAGTTTTTAAAGCTGGTCT